AGCGGGTCTTTGGATCCCAAAGAAGTCCAGGGAAAGATTGTGGCATGCTTGAGAGGGCCGATGCATCCACTTATGTGAAGTTTCTCAAGCTGGTGGAGCTGGGATTATCGTTTGCAACTCCACTGAATTCTTTCTTCAGTTCATGTTGATGAAAGAGTTGGACAAACCATCTTTTTATATATCAAATCTACAAGGTAAAAGAGTTATTTTCTTCCTTTCTTTCCTTTCTTCCTTATTTTCTTTCTTTCTGTTTCTTAGCTTTGTGTCTGGCAGAGATCCTATAGCGGATATACAGCATCAGATAACTTTGAGAAACTGAAAACATGCTCCTTCCATGGCACCTTTTTCATCCTCTAGTCCCAACTCGGTTGATCCAGACATTCTTAAGTTTTGTCAATGTTTTATCATTTTAAATTTTTTTTTTTTTTTTTTTGGGGTATGTTCTTTCAGCCCAATTGACAAGCATATAACTTGTTCCATCTCACAGTGATCCTAGTTTTCTTGAGTTTGTATGTGTGGTAAGAACCATCATGGCTCAGGTGGAGAATGCAAACAGCAGTAGCTTCTGCAATTAGCTTCACCACTCTCACAAGCAAGAATCCTCCTCCTTGTCAAATATGGTCTTCCCACTGCTTCTGCCTGCAACAGCAGGGAGGGTTTTGCATGCCCCGAAGTGAACAGCTTTGTCAACGAATTTGATCCGTTCTACAGATGGTCTCCCTTGCCAGTGTCCTCACCACGGCAACTAGCATCGACATCTAGCTCGCCAATTCCACCTACCAGCAAGCTAGTGCATGGAGAGTGATCAGCACACAAAGCTTCGGATAGAGGTAGGTATCGTTCTTCCATCGGACGCGTTGAGCAGCGTCTTGCTTCCAGAGGTTGATGAGCAGCTTGCAAAGATCTCCCGTTCCAGCTTTCTACTCGGCGAAGGATGGAATTTGATCGTGCAGCCTCAGAGCGAAGAGCATCTCAGTGATCGAGATTACGGCAGAAGAACACGAACTGGTCTAGCTCCGGAGAAGCTTCAAAACGAGATCTCTCGGGGCATCCCATCCCAGAAACTTGGGGGCTTGAGCAACCACCTTTGCAACCTTAACGGACTTGATCCCTTCAAAAGATATCTCGTGTAGTGATTGTGGGAGCTTCTTTCCTGTCCCAGCACCTCGATCAGCCGATAAACTTAGTTGGAATCACCCGAGTCAAGGCAAAGCTTGATCAAGCGGCAAAAGTTTCCGTTCCTCCTGTAGTGATCGTAGGAGCTCCTATCCGCAATATAGTACTTAACTAGATATATGAGCCAAGCCGAGAAGTCCGAAGCTCCCTCCACTCCACCATGTCCAGAGCTCCTTCAAGTCCTGCCCCGGCAAACGAGCTCGACGCTCTTGCGTTTCTGCCAAAACACCACTGCAGCACTGTAGTACCGGTACGTTTCCTAGGAGCTCCACCACCAGCCTGTCTTGACCTTTAAGTCCAGAGAAGCAAAGATTTGTCTCCGTGTACTTGTGCTCGAGACAAAAGACCAACTTCTCTGGCGATGAATTTGCATCCTGGATCTAAGGTGCGAGAGATGACTTCACTCGTAGCACAGTCGCGGTACTAACGTCGCACAGAACTCTGTAGGATCTAACGTTCGTCTTGCGTACCAGGTTGAAATGCAGGCTCGTCTCACTGGCTGGATTTCATGCTCGCAGTCGGCGAAGAAGGCGGTGTCCTTGAAGCCGGCGTCAAAGTGACGTTGCCATGCTGAACCATGAGAGCACCTCCCTGGCAACCATGCAGGGAGCTGGAGTATGAGAGTGGCAAACATGCCAGGCTCCTTCTTGATGTCTCGGTATAGCTTGAAGTGTCCATCTTGTGAAAGAACAAGATCAGATTCGTTCTACCAAGTATAAAAAAGACCCACGCAAAGAGAAACTAGCTATGAAACACTGAAATCTAAACACGTAAGAAATCAAACAAGGACGTAAAATAGAGCGAAGACTAGCCAAGAGAAAACGCAAACAACGAAAGAGTACGAGGAAAGAGAGGAAATGGATAATATGTGTTTCCCACCTGATTCGTAAACCAGCAGCTTGCACAATCGGATCCATCCCCAAGCCACGAACAGCAATAGCAGCGACGGCTCGGACAGTGTGGTTGGAAAAATGCGACTTTGCCACCATCGATCTGCCAAGCTCTTCGCAATTCCCAAGCCCATGCCTGCTCGGCCGCTTCCTGGAGCGTAAAGGCGCCGTCCAGCGATATTGGAAGCGCTACCTCGCCGATTCCTTGCACACCATTGATGCTCCCTCGACACGCAAAGATCCCTGACCATCTGGGGCCGTAGAACCCTAAATTCTTTCTCCTTTCTCGGGAAAGCTTCCCGCGCAAGCCTCGCAATGTTCTCTTCGCTATTAATATCACGTGACCGAATATGCTTTTGTCGGTGATAATGGGTGTTAAAAGGGTGTATTTCAGATGGTAGAGGGATCGCTTTGCATGCGATAGGTAAAAGGATCAATATTGCCCCAAGATTATACTAATAATGATTAAGCTTAGAGCACTTGGCATCCATGGTCTGGAAATTGATTGGCTTTTGCATGAGCCTCCGAGGCAAAAAGTCTACCAGAACACGAACATTGCTATGTTTCAAAATTTTATTCCAAAGATCTGCTTGGCTTGACTGCAATGGGGCTTGTGACCGTATACTTTCCGTTGCTCCATATCAGCTTCCCGAAAACATCCTTATCAATGTTTGTCCTCCACTCTAAATATCTTTCGTCTCGCCCTTGTGCTTGAACCGCAGCACCGATGGATGAACCAACACCGACACACTCTCTGGTGCCTCGATAGTTGCCGTGTACTTCGTCGCATCATCGTCCACGTTCGTCACTCGCCTGTGCATGACTTTGCTGCGGCACAAATGAGAGATATCCAATGTAGTCTTGCTCGTCGGTGTCGCATACTAGGCCAGGGTGTGCAGCAGCATTTGGATTTACATGCCCTCCACCAAAATCAAAGGGTGATGCAGGAGCTCGTGATGAATTCTTGATTGGTTCTCCAAGATTATCGAATGAGTAACCTGTTTTGTTTTGAAGTGTCAGTAACAAACACAGATGTATCACTTAGTTACCTGTTGTAACTATGGCTGATTTGATTGCTGCTGGACTCCAGGCTGGACGATAGGATTTTAGTAGGGCGACAATCCCAGTGACGTGAGGGCAAGACATGGAGGTTCCAGATGAAAATTGGTATGGTACTTCTGAGTTGTTGAATTGAGTGTATGCTGCTAGAATATTTACTCCTGGAGCTGTAATATCCGGCTGAAAGAACAAAAATCTTCAAAAACTACCAAAACAAATACACAGAAAACATTGACAAACCTTGAGAATGTCTGGATCAATGAAGTTGGGACCAGAGGATGAAAAAGGTGCCATGAAAGGAGCAGGCTTTTGATTTCTCAATGTTATCTGATGCTGTATATCCGCTATAGGATCTCTGCCAGACACAAAGGTAAAAAACCAGAAAGAAGAACGAAGATTTTACCTTGTAGATTTTATATATGAAAAGATGGCTTGTCCAACTTCTTCATCAACATGAACCGAAGGAAGAAATTCATCTGTAGGATTTTGATCGACTAGAGTGGAGTTGCAAAAGATAATCCCAGCTCCGCCAGCTCGAGAAACTTCGAATGATTGGAATGCTGGATGCATCGGCCCTCTCAAGCATGCCACAATCTTTCCCCGGACTTTCTTGGGCTCCAAAGACTGGCTCATACACAATTGCCTGCAGCATTAATATTTCTTTAACTCAAATCTATAGATTGATATTTTACCTGGTTGAAAAGTTGGAAGTTGGCACAGCAAGATGATACCACCGCTTTTTTAATCTTTGCTCCGTCATACTTAAACCCCGAAATGATTTATTGTTGCCAAGGTAAAGGTCTCCAAAATAGGATCGATCAAGAGTGCTCGCTCCAACAGTGACGACCCAAGGAGCTACATTTTTCACAGAGCCAGGGCCTTCTTCCCGCTCGTTTCCAGCGGAAGCCACCACCACAATGCCTTTCTGCATGGCATGGAACGCTCCAATGGACGTAGAATCAAGGAAGTAATCACCCGCTGAACGACCGAAAGATGCAGAAATGATATCCACGCCATCGTGGATTCCCATATCAAATGCGCTGAGAACGTGAGAATCCGGGCACCTTACACTGCCCTCCGTGATGTTTCTCCAGCATATCTTGTAGATTGCGAGACGTGAGTCCCTTTCGCATAGCCAAACCAGTTTGCGTTTCTCACAAATCGGCCTCCGGCAGTAGAAGCCACGTGAGTTCCATGGCCTTGAACATCTCTTGGGGAAAGAAGTTCTTGGTGTGCTTTTGCATAGACCTCGGGACCATCTTGCAGGCCGTGGGCCCTGAAAGATCAAAAGTTGAAAACATTTAAATTCACTTAGAGTGTTGTTTCTTACTTGTTGCAGTGAGAAGCGTAATTGCTCCCCAGTTTCGCAAGCCCCTTTCCATCTTTTGGGGATTGGTCCCATGCCATGATCCAAAAAGCTTTCCGACTCTGGCCATACTCCTGGGAAAACCAACATTAGTCCAAGCCCTCTGCCATGCTAGCAAAGTTGGCGGACCTTCTCCTGCCCACCATGAAAACAAGAAGATGAAAGAGAGAAATACCTGAATCCAAAACACCAATGATAACGTCCTTGCCAAATTTTGATTTCTTCCATAACCACGATGATTCAATAGCGTCACTAGCACCAAACAAGGATTTCTCTCCACTTCCATAGAGTCCCAGAAATTCCGATGAGTCTGTGGTGTGGACCGTGTGGAATTCATTGCGAAAGACGGACAAGACGTTTGGGAGGCCTGCAATATGGATAAAGACTGACTTAGATTATGTATAATGTTTCTATGATGCGTTACCAGAGAGTTGAGCAGCTTGTTCTTCTGTTAAACGAGCCGAGAAGCCACTAAATCCATGCCTATAGCTAAAACCCAGTGATTCTCTGGCAGCTTTGACACTGGAATACACGAATTTGGATGAATTCATAATTTTTTTCTTCTGGAGTTTTACCTTCCTAGAACATCCCCAAGGAGTGCGTGATGGGAGCTTGTAACAGCGTCTGGATGGAGGGATTTATCGACATTCCCCAAATAGACAATGTGAGTGTCTCCTTGATCTCGTCCCTAGAAATAAAATCAAACCATGGGCTTTAAAAGATTGTTTCGCGCGAGATAAGAAAGGTAAAGACCTGAGAGATGGAGATGGCACTTAAACTTAGAAGAAAGTATAAACAGATTGAGAGCGCCATGAACTTGAAGAATTGTATTTGAGAATTGCAGGTAGAAGTTATGATTATTTATATTGGAAACTGCTGAATGTTTCATGTGACGTGCATCTCAGGCCGCCTTGTTTGATTCTACAATGAAATACGACTTATTCAGGAGAATTTGTCGATGTTAAATTATATCACAAGAATTTAGCATCACTAGCTGACAGATTATAATAGTTCTTTCTCAGCTTGATTGATTTCCAAGGACAAGGAGGGAGTGTTCTTCATCCAGACGCTGTTAATACTGGTTTGCATCACAGCAGGCATTCGAGAAAGATGGCTAGAATTTCTAAAATTAAGATTATTTTTATATTGTATATTCTTTTTTATTATTTTATATAAGGTTTCAACCAATGAAATTTTTCCTTCAGTTCACGTGAATGTACACAATGATGTTCTTTCATCCCCATGATGCACTCTAAGCATTCAATAGCTTAAAGTTCTTCCTTCAATTAACTCTGAAATAGCTTCAGTTTAACTCCATGAGAGGAGTCTTTGACTGTTTGTCTGCTAAAGCTGCAACTTTCAGTATAAGCCCAATTGCACAGCATCTTTTTCGCAATGTTTCTTGCCATGGCAGGCAGACCAGACAAGGTGAAGCCCTAAACCATTCCGGGCGATGGCGCGGCTCCTGGAAAAGCTGGATTTCTTCCACGATCATGCTGGCAGATTTTCTTGTAGCCCTAACAAGTTTTCTTCTTTGCATTTCATCTGACGAGATATAAACTTTCTTCTCGACCAAACCCCAAGAAAGAGGGGTTGGCCTCTTTCGTCACTTTGTCTTTGGGTGTCGCTTGTCAGTCCTTTTCACGAATCTTTTGGCAGCATTGATCCCGACGTCGTCATATCATATCTAATCTCTTTGATATTCGCATCGGTGTATACTACTCGGGTTTGGATAGCAAGCAAAGCAAAAAAGATATGGGGAGCGATGCCAAGGATCTCGTCAAGCACACCAAGCTCTTCATCGGACACTGTCTCAGGTTGTAATCTTTGCTTTTCTTGTGTTTTTGCGGTGAGAGTGAAATGGTTTTGTGGATCTTTTGCAGGCAAGACGGTCCCCACTTTCAATCCCCAAACAAGTTCCCATCCTGAAAATTTCACATGATGCATGAAAATGGCATTTTGAGAGACGGCCGCAGCCGAGTCCAGGTCGGCATCCTCGCAGATTATAAACGGAGATTTGCCGCCAAGCTCTAGTGTGACTTTAAGTTGCTTCTCGCAGCACTCTCCATTATCATTCTTCCAATTTCAGTGGAACCAGTAAATGTCACCTCAGGAAAAAAAGAAGCTTTTCTTTTCAATTGCAAGATTTCCTACGCTCATATGCTTCGAAATCGCGGCTCCTGCAGTGGTACCATAACCAGGAATAACATTGAGGACTCCCGCGGGAATCCCTGCCTATATTCGTGAAGAAAAAATGACTTTTGTGTGCAAGTGTAGTGCAAGTTTTTCTCACCTCTTGAGAAAGACTGGCCAGGAGCAAAGGTGTCTGCTCGGCAACCTTGACAACGATCGTATTTCCACAAGTTAACGCAGACCCGACTTTGTTGAGAAACATATGAGCCGGGAAGTTCCACGGAACAATCGCTCCAACCACACCAATTGGCTCCAAAAGGGTGTAGCACATCCGAGTAGAATCAGTTCGCAAGGTCTTTCCATTGAGCTTGTCAGCCCAGCCTGAGAAAAAAAAGCCACTCCACTGGTTCAGCAGTGTTTCGAAAGAACTCTTTATTGAAAATATGCTTGTAGTACCTGCATTGTATCGCAGAGAGGCAGCCGAAGCCGCAATTATCACCATGCTCAGATCGATCAACATTCCGTTGTTGAGGGTCTCAAGAGTTGCCAGTTCGTCGAGATGTTCCTCGATCACATCCGCGAACTTGTAAAGTATCCTTCCTCTTTCCTACCAAACGAGCATGAACAAAGACAAGAAGAAAGCAGGAAGAAGGAAAACTCACAGCAGCAGCAAGGCGTGGCCAGGGCCCGTGGTCAAATGCTTCGCGCGCGGCTCTCACGGCCAGATCCACATCCGCCGCGTCTCCCTCGGCGACTTGAGCAATACACTCCGAGTTGCTGAAATGATGACATGTTTTCAGGGACAAGTCTGTGTTGCTGCATCGCGAATCTTTGTTCACGAAAGTATTCATGACGAGTTTATCAAGAGGTCTGTCAAGCTGGCAAGTGAACGTGTAATTGGAGATCCTTTCAAATCCGGAGTCCAAAATGGTCCCCAAGTAAGAAAATATCCTCTCTTCATCTTTCGGATACTAGTCACGAGCTGTTTTATCAGATCAACCAGGAGCAGCTGGACAAAGTTAGTCGGGAAAAAAAGAAGGTGCCAGCCTTCTAGTGGGAGGCAAACGCATCGGCGAGAAAGGATTTTACATCCAGCCAACAATTTTTGGAGACGTCAAGGTTTGCTGTGTTAAAATTCTCTTACTCGTTTTTCAAAACATCCAGGACATTTGTGTAGCAATCCATGAAGATTGCCAACGAGGAAATCTTTGGTCCCGTGGTTTCAGTGCTCAAGTTCAAGTAAGAAAATTTTGTTTATGCCTTGGTTTATCTGATGGTAATAACTTCACTGAGTCAGGACTCTTGACGAAGCCGTGGAGCTTGCAAACAGCACACACTACGGTCTAGCAGCGGCGGTCTTCAGCAAGAACATTGACACAGTCAACCTTCTGACCAGGTCGATCAAATCGGGCGTTGTCTACGTGAATTCCTACCTGGGAGACGGACCAGCAGTACCGTTTGGAGGCTACAAGATGAGTGGAATTGGTCGAGAGAATGGATACAAAGGCTTGCTTCCATATCTCTAGCACAAGTCCATTCTCATGCCTATGGAAAACTCTCCTTGGAATTGACTCTTTCGTTTTTCTTGTTTCACTTGCGCTCTTTTACAAGATGTGCTTCTTCACCCAACAATCGGTCAAGGTAAGTTACTAGTTCAGGCTTCCTTGTTTCTTTTTTCTGATTCTCAATATGTGTTTTCCAGAGACAATGCATAGCTTTGATAACAGGAATTGGTTCCATGTCGTGTATAACGATAGGAACTTTGCAAGCTCAAACCGAAAAGGCACATGGGGATCTTTTTTGTCAAGTACAACAGGATCACTGCTTTTCACAACAAGTTCCTAAGCGTCAACAGTGACAGGAAGTAAGCCTCTTTTATTCTGGTTTACAGTGATCTCGGAACAACATCTTTTCCTTTTTTGTTTGTCTTTGCAGATTTGAAGTGTCTAAGATCCGGTTACGCCCAGGTTGTTGACGGTGGGGGTTGTTAAGGTGGTATGCTTTCACCTTGAGCTCAGCAAAAGTATCGGGTCGTCAGCGAGTCCGAGCGGATCAGACGCACCTCCGGGGTAGATCTTGTCCAGTCCCTCGCCGAGCGGTCCACCTCTCGACAGCTCCCATGAGGATAACTTGGCAGGCCCAGATGGCAAGGATGCTCTGTCCGTGGACGAGGTTGGAATTTCCCAGGTAGTCGAGGCCACCTTCCTTGAAGATCTGCGAGCTGCCCTTGAACCACAAACTTGATGCTGTTCTTTTCGGGGGTGACGCAGCCGAGAGCTCTGAGCATGGCCCACGTGGATGACTCACGGTGCTTGTAGGTTTTTACCCGTAGACACTTGCCCACCATAAAATCCAGGTGAAAGTGCTCCAAGGTGACTCTCTGGCCAGGTGCCAAGAAGCGAGAGCCCATGGCAAAGTGGTGGAGCCTCCTTGGTTGCCATTACACTGACTGAACAGACTATCCACTCATGCACAAATGGGTGAAGGTTATTGCCATTGCATGCTGCAAGCCAATCCTCAGCTATGAACCTACTTTGTCCCTCACCAAAAACCTCATTGTCTATTGTTTGAGATGTTGTCAGGACTAGAAGGTACTGTGGCCTCTCCATCTTCTCTGTGGTGTTTGGATATGACATGCTGGAAACCCTTTCATAAAGTTGTGGACTCCATGAATAACACCTCAAACAACACCTTGTAAATAGCTTCTTCTAGAGTGTAGTAGTAGCATGTCCCCAACTCAACTACCTTTGAGAATATTTTTATACACACATCAAGTGCTACTCTCCTTTCTAATGCTCGACATCACTCCCATTACATAGAGTCATGTGCTGGAACTGGGGGAGGGTGGGGTGTTGGAATTGGTGGTGGTGCATTCGGGAATGCCTAGACCATCATCAATTCTGGCTCTTGGGTGTACAATACAACATAGTTGTTCATGTGAAAGTTGCGATCATGGCAATAAAATGACCATGTATCATAATTCCCATCGCAATATAAATCTATTTCTAGCAAAAGAATATGATGAGATGCAAATAAAGAGAACAAAACCAACAAAATACTTGTGTCACCACATATAACTTTGATAAGTCTCCTGGCCATATCAAACATTTCTTGGTCCTATGTTTAATTCACACCTTATGGGAATCAGTTTGTAGGTTTGGTTTCATATCAATACCTAGTGCCTATGTTATAAAAACAATTGTTACTATATTTTGATTGCCCCCAAAATGTGTGTATTGGTATAGCATTCAGTATGGGGTTCTGCCACATCAGTATGACGTGTGAGATTGCTATATCACCTCAACTTGCCACACAGGTACATGTGATGTCATATGAAATATAGCAATGTTTTTTTTGTCTTTCGTACTACACTAATTTCCTGTTTGGCCAAGAGCAATAGCTTTCCCACATTGAGCGCAACATAGGCCCTTCAAAAGCAAGTTTCAAGAAGCAGTGGGCACAACAAGCATATATTAATTAGGATTTGCATGTAGGCAATTCTTGATCTTTTGTATGTCGCAACATAGGTGCTTAAAGAGCACACATTGATTAAAGTTTGGGTGAGAGCTTTTTGCATGTAAATGGCTGTGATTCTCATTCCTTTGTGTGTTAGGTGCATTGTGCTGTCCTTATGTAATGTGGGTGTGGACTTGTGGTTAGCGTTGCACTAGATTGTGGGTTAGAGATTTTATTTATTTGCTCAATTCCATTGAGGTAAACTTTCTTTTATTTAGCTTTTTTTTATTGGCATAAGCTTTATGCTTATTCTAGTGAATGCAATCACAAAGCATTGGAACACTACACTTACATGCAATTAAATGTTTGCAATGATTCTTTATAAATTTTTCAATTCTCTCTATAGTAGTTATGTAAGTGTTTGCAGAACGTGGAAGGGGGCATACAAATGATGCCCTTTACTTTTGTAAATTGCTTGACCCATATGTGTATATGACTACACTCACGTGAACACACTTTTGCACTAATCCCTTGCTATTAAACTTTGAAATGTATAATAAATGATATGAACTTGTGTCTTATGAAGAGCATGAATGAAGATTGGGGGATAACAATGTTTGGAAATCAACCATGTATGGTTGAGTTCATGTGCAGGGATATTGGTAAGTGCATGGCATTATAAAATTTTATTCATTAATGCACTTGGTTTTTTTTTCCAGGAGAAACATTCATGCTCTGATGGGGTGAATGTCACAAATTTTCAAGTTCAAAATGAACTCCTTACTTATGTGCACATGGCCTCAACATTAAGGACTATGTTATATTCTATTCTCTAGGCCCATGAAGCATGCATGTTTAGGGTTTTCAATAGAGTCTTGTTTCTATAAATTGTGAAAAAATCAATTCCACTACAAATCATGAAGGATTCTATTGCAATGAAATGCCAGAGGAAGTTACACCAACATTTTAAAAACACACATTGGCTAGAGTTTTCGTTACTATAGATAGTGCAACAATTACATTTGAAGCATAAGGATTTAATTTAATATAATTGAAATTCATTTGCTTAACTTTTGTGAACTTTTGTAGTGGGGTAGTGGAGTCTAGAGCAAAATTTTATATTTCACGACACGAGGAATCTTGTGAGATGCTAGAGGATCTAGAACTCCCTCCATGTGAGGAGGTGGAGGAGATGCCTCTATGCAAGGACCTATAACACAAAAAGATGGAAGAGGAAATGTAATGTGATAAATTGGAGGAAGTGCCTTCACATAAAGAGGTACAATATAAGGAAATAGAGGATGTGATTCCACGTGAGGTAGTATAATATAATGTTATAAAAGATGTGCTAAAAGGGGGATGAAAGAAGTGCTTGTGTGGTGGTGAAGCCTACTCTAATGGTGGAGCCTCCACCTCCACTTGCATCATGTTGTGTGGAGTGTCCATTATAACCTCAACTATCTAAGAGCTTAGAACCTCCACCTTTCATTACTCCTCTTTCACCATTTTGCATAAAGATTCTTTTTCCATCTCCTTACATTGCACCTCTTGGTGCTCAAGGATTCTTGCAATGACATATAAATTATATAGGTAGAGGTTGCACATAATGCTTCTTGCAAGCATGAGGCTTTATATTGCCACTAAGAGTGTTAAAAATGAACTTTATGAAAAGGGTGTTTGAGTTTTAATGTATTTTGATATAGAGGAGAAGTAATTTTCCCCACTCATTTAAGTTGGGTGTTTCCTATAAAGTGTGTTTTTCATTATCTTTCAAAGTTGTTTCTTTGATGATTTGCAAACTAGATCATGCATTAAGGAGGAGTTGATCTTCCCCAAGGCAGGGAGAATGTTGCAAATGTGATTTTGGGTATTGAAAAATATTTGTTAACTAGTCTTTATGAACACTCTCTCTTTATTATTATGATAGTAGAAAGTTAGTACTGTTAGTTCCCTTTATGGTCTCCACCTAAGTTAGTTAAGAAATTGGTTATTCCATATGTACTTGATTAAATGAGCATAAGGACTAAATTCCTAAATATTATTAGTTAATCATACTTGACTTGGTTAAAGAAACTTATTCATTGGCTTGCACTTGTTAGTGTAAGGAACCCCCATGATATTGAGTATAATCCCTCAATATTGTTACATAATAGTTTACTATATTTGCCAAACACTCTCGTTATCATACTTTATATGTTGGCTCCATTCTTGATCCATATGCTATTTGTAGAAAGTGTCTAGAAGGCATATTTATGGAATGTAAAAAATGTTTTGAACCCTATGATGTTGTTACCACCCAATTTGCCATCTAGTGCCATTCTATATTTAATAGGTTTCAAGTTTGTCTTAGTGGTTAACTTTTGAGACTAAGATGAAAGCCCAAAGCATGTGTTTCTTAGGGGAGGGGGAGAGCTATAGGGAGTTCTAAATGTATGGATAATAGTTCAATTGAATGGTTAACTACTTAAAATATTAGTTTGGCTTTTGCTAGGCTATATCACTCTTTGTTTTGCATCCAAATTAGGTCTAAGCCTAAACTTATTGCTCTAGTTGGTGTCTTCCTTGCGTTAGACCACTAGTATGCTAAAATTATACCAAATACCATTTAACACCATTTTGTATATAAGAGTTAGATATAGGGAGTTGGTGCTTGTAGGGGATATTGAGTGTATATTACACCTTTGTTTCATAATGCCCTTAGAGTTTAACTTCAAATTCAAATGTGCTATAGAAGTGATAGAGTATAAAGAACACTTTTGAGAAACCAAAAGAGAATTTACAAATCCCTTTAACAAGATGCTTAGAATATCACCAAGAAAAGGACAAATCATAACTAAAATAACTTGATAATCATGAAATTTAGAGTGCTCAACCATATGTTATGTGGCACTAGAGTCAATAATAATAGTAAAAAGAAGAATAAATAGTTAGCAAAGCACTATTAGTATAAGTATGATCATGTTGAAAATCTTCTGTTAAAAAAAAGTAGGAGAGGATGAGTCATTGTCAATAGTATATATTTGTTGTTGTTGTCCATTAGTACTGGTACCAATATAAGCTTAAGGAAGTTGTTATAGACAAAGAATAACATGAGAAACTAAATGAGTATAATTTAGATGCTGGCAACAAAATTAGGA